AAATATTAAATCAAATATGCATTAAATTATATGTTGTTCTGGGAATATATTCTTCTTAGCATTGTGCTATCTTTTATTGCCCACTGAATAGATATGCTAGATATGAACCGTTATTTAATTCTGCACACTATGCATGAATTTTGTACTTTGGACTTAAAGTGAATAAAAATGCTACTATGTATAGATTAAAACACAAAATAGCCTGACAACAGTGTAAAAATAGTATTAAATCATACTTTATTATTAAAGTGGCTAGAATCCACTTACTATTTCCAACATCAGTATGTTTATATAGGTCATTACTCTATATATAGACAGAAGATTGTAGTTAACAGTTCAGATTTCACATAATGTTCAGAGAAGACTTCACATGAAGGTTAAAATTCTCCCATGTTATATATCACTGTGGTGTGTTGCTGTGTGTTCAAGCTCCTGTGTGTGTGTGTGTGTGTGTATGTGTGTGTGTGTGCGTGTGCGTGTGTGTGTGTGTATGCTCCCATCAGTACATGCACACATGTATGCTGCCATTCACTCTTTCTGATAATAAGGACAAACATCATTATTGACAACTATCACCCCGTATTCCAGCAAGAATCATTGTGGTTTATAAATACTCAATAAATAATTATTCATGATCTGAACAGGAAAATAGTTTATAAACAGAAATTTAAAAAGTAAACATCAAAATCCATTTAACAAAGATTTACATTAATCTTGGTTGCTGCTGTGGTGGAGAAAACTCCTCACTAGTCATCACCATTATTCCACAGATAACGCAATGGAGGCTTAGGATTAAGATGATTGTTCCTAAGATACAGTTATAAATGGCAATTCCAAGACTCTACCCTATGTCTGTTATTCCTTAAGACCTCAAACTTTTGGTTATTTTTCATACTAGGGAATGGCTAAGGACAAAAACAACCAACTATTTGAAGAGTATGTATATTTAATTTGAAAGTGGCATTTGCATTTTTTTAAAAAAATACTTCTAATGATTGATTATCTACTTGTTTCTTAAAATTTATATTTTGTAAGTATGTGGCATCTGATTAGGAAAAGAGGCCTATGTATTCATTTTAAGTAATAGTGAGTTTATCATAGTTATTGGAAAGCCACAAGTTAACATGCAAACAAGAAAATTTACAATAATTTAAAATTCAGGACATATTTCCATCGACATACACATACATGGCAATACAGAAGGAAACTGGAAATTAGAGAAGCCCCCTGAGTATACAACAAAAACTGGCATATGTAAGTTAGCCTTAGCACACATACATAATTGGCCATGTTTTTGAAGTTGACAAATGGATAAAACTTAAGTAGTAAGAATTCTTGTATTTTTCATATTAATCGAATCTTTCTCTGGATCCCTAAACTATCACTGACATAATCAACTACAGAATCAAGAATGTTCCTCTGATAGCTTGTCAAATGCTTTGGAAGAAAAGCTTTTGGCTTTCAGCCTATTTTTCCCTATAGGTCACATGAACTCTGTTCAGCTCCCCCCATAGCCTACTTAGCAACAGTGAAATGCAACAACGTTAATTGTGAGTTTTTTTTCCTTGGATTGGTTAACTCCAAAGCACTGTAGCTGCAGTGTTTATTAACACTCTTTGGCTTAGGGCAGAAGCAGCTATGAACAGTGTCCTGATTATAAGACTTTTCACCTGTTACATCATCCTTTATTTATTCATCCATACACCTCTTCCTACCTTTAGAAACTTACAGCCATGTTTATGTTTTTAAGAATATGCTTATTAATACACAGCTTGACTGTCCTTCATGTGAACAGAACATCCTTCAAAGTTCTTCCTACTAAATACAAACCATATGTGTGAGAGACCCTGATAGTGAATAGTATCTATATGGTTGTAAGAATGGTTCCATGATCACTGAGGCTGCCCATTGTGGCCTTCTGGTCCCTTTCCACACCTGGATAACAGGATGGATGGTACTTGGAGTGGCAACAACCTTGTGGGTAGAGATGCTGATGCCAAGTCTTGGGGTCAGGGGCATCTCAACCCTTCAGCATTGCTAATTATCTCCAAAAATGTATTCACCATCATCATTGGAGTCTGTGCTGCCTCATCATGTAAGGCAATGTCAATGCTTGCAATAGCAAACCTATAACAACAGATTCCCCAGTCGTCTGCCACCTCTGAGCCCTTTTCCCAGTCATATTAGTTTCTTTTCTTGTCCCCTAGTTCCCCTTGCTGCTCCTCTCTTAGAGCCAGCATAGCTATATGTGGTGTTCCTAGTCTTTACCCAGTCCCTACTACTTTGGTTAGGAGATATTTGCCTAAAGCCTAACCACAGGAACCCTTTTCAATTTCTTCTATCTTTCTTTGGCTTAGCTTCCATTGCATATTCCCTCCTGGTTCTCCGCGTCAGTAGTCTATATTTCACAAGATATTTGTATTTCTCTGCCTTCCTCTATTAATGTTCCTGTTCTCAGGTTTCTATTGTTGCATGACTTCTTTTTTCATTCTCAATTATCTCACTGCTTATCACAGCAATGCCCATGATTTTAGTCACAACTTTGATACTTGCAAAGATCTCCTACAGCTATAGACACAAATATTTAACTGCTTATTATATAATCATTATTATACCTTTACTACTGACCTATACACCTTGCTATCATCTACATCATTTTAGAATGTGATACATTAAAATATGTAGGTAACTATAAAATATTATACAACTATCAAAATATTAATAACTGAAGCACAGCTCAGTTTGGATCTTTTGCAAGATCCCAGGTTCTGTCCCCAGTGTCACAAAAATTAAAGAAACAATTCATAAATACATTAAAATTCCTCTTTTTATGCATAACCTGTGCATCTTCTATACTGCTTGCTGTTATAGTAGGCTTAGTGCAAGTCCTAAAAAACAGAAAAGTTGTACCTTATGTAGACCTACAAAATTGCAGCTGTCTGTAGATAAGGAATGTCTGCTATTACATCACTCTATCAAACAAGAAATTTCATGCCAGCAGCATAAACAAATACATACTCAGAGAAGAATTGCTCAAAATCATAATTCTGGCCATGTTGAGATCATATGTTTTCTATGAAAAATATATAGCATTTTGGAAAACACATAGCCTTGTAAATTTATGCAAATAACAGCATCTCTATAACAAACTATATACATAATCATATTCATGTACACTGTTATATAATTTTCATAAGAATCCCGTAAAGTAACACATCAGTCATTATCTTTGGTTAACTGATTATTAAAGAAAAATACATACCTTGGAAAAGCTTAACCACTTTTCCATACACATATTGTTTTTAAATGTGCAAGCTAAGAAAAATATCCTACCTAGATATAATCTTAGATCCATCTTTCATGAACATGATATGTTTTACTAGAAAGCAGGTGAATTATTGAATGTATATGTAAGTACCCTTCAAATAAATAAAATGTGCATCATATAACTTAGATGGTCCTTTTTAATCAGTGTAAGTTTATTTTAATAAATACATTAAAACACAGAATTCATATTGATGGTATCTACATGTTTAAATATGTATAGATTGTGTAATTAAGTTAAAAGCCTACTTACTCAAATATTTATAAGTTATTTCTGTAAAAATACTGAAAATACTTCTGGCTTTTTGAAATAGGCAATACAGAGTTACTGTAAGTGGTCCCTCACAGTGAAATGGTATCCCAGAGTTTCTTACTCCCTTCCAACTGTAGCATGCCCTATATCATTCTTCTCTAGTTTCTGGAAACCACATTGCTACTCCCAATTCTAAGGAAATCAGTTACTTTATTTTCCACATACATTTGAGACCACATAGTACCATTATTTCTGGGCCTGGTTTATTTCATATTACATGGTCTTCATTCAGGTTCCCCCACCCCCATGATGTCATAAGTAATTGTATTTGTTTCTTTAAATTTCAGTGAAAAGGTCTTCCTAGTGTGTGAACAAAACTTTCAAATGTATTTTGACATCTCACCATTGCCAACAATTGTTAAGTGATGGTGTGAAATTACAGCCACGGAGCAGAGAGCAGTTCCACAGCTCTGAGGAACTTCTCAGATTGCTATGGCAATGTAGAACAATGCAGGGTTTAACTATCACTGTTTTACTATAAATAGATCTAAAAACCAAGTAGCCATTGTGTAGGGCTTCACTTTTACCATTTGTTCTAGTAATAAGTTGACTTATAATCCTTAGGAATTGAAATCCACTTAGTCTGTGTATTCCCACCCCACTCCGCCCTTTTGAAGACCTATAGTTCTCTGTAAACTAGGAATGCAGAAAACACCTTAGTCACACCTCATCTTCAGACTGTCGTCCAACAGCATGTAAAATGCCCTACTTTATTTTCAGCTCCTTTTTATAAGTTTTATCAAGATTGTAAGAACACAGCTTTGTTTGTGAAAATAATGGGTTGCTTGTTTTTATTTTAAATGTTGTAAGTTCTTGAGATCTGAGATGTGTAAAACTTTCAGGAAGCAATTTAATCTGGAATGAAAAATAGTTTTATAAGTGTAATTTATGTCTGTGTATTTGGTTTACACAAGATAGGACTTAACAAAGCATTTCTAGGCTGTGTGGCCAGTAGCTTTGCTCTTAAGTCAGGAAGATATTTACTACCAATAATCTGTGTTGCATTTGAAACACCTAGGCTTTGTGACCTTGATGCTGAGTAACATGGGACGCAGCAATTCCTTTTCCTTGAACACACTGGTCTGTTCTATACCATTAGTTGGTGCTCATACTTTAAATATGATCCAAAGCTAATGCTTTGATGTAAGCATCAAAAGTATTTATTATTCGGATAGAAGATACTATTTGGGAGCAAACCACTTTTTACTTTGTTATCATTTGAAAAACATTAATGCTATGCCTATGTTATGCAATACCAAGTCATAACAAGCTAATTTCAGTCATTCCTTTGGACTCCAACATTTACCATAGAAGTCCTCGGTAGCATCTATATAATATTTTTCTTCTTTTTGTCCCTTTGTAGTTGTTTGAAATTACAGTGCCTCTCTCTCAAGGCCCCAAACCAGTCACAATCAGTTTTGCCAATCATACTTCCTGCCGATGCATGTCTAAACTGGACGTTTACAGACAAGTTCATTCAATTATTAGACGTTCTCTGCCAGCAACATTATCACAGTGAGTATGAATTGTCTGTTTTTCTACGTCTTCTCCTAAGTTAAAATTATCTTCAAATAAACACAAGTTTGCTAAAGGAAATTTTATAAAGACTTAATTTCTCATCAAATACAAATCATAAAATATTAAAAGTAGAATTATACTGAGCCACCCAATGTATGGGCAGGGTAGTTAATAATGTAAAAAGACATGCTTTGAATGGTACACACATCACCACTGTTCATGCAACTAATGAATTTAGCCACATTGATTTAACATCTATGAAGTTGAGTATTCAATTAGACATTTTTCACAAAAAAGTGTAATATTTCATAAATAATCTCTGGAAAAATAATAAGAAGGAAATTTCAAGTCCAAGAGTAAATTATAAAAAGAAAATCTTGTTGTTGTAAAAACTGAATTTGAGCCTTGAATCTGGATTTTCAGTCTGGTAGATTAGACATGGTTGTCATGATCTGAGTTGTCAGGACTCAGGTCCAGGTCTTCTTTCATCTTCACTGAACATTTCCACTTACAATCTTAAATAAGCATTCCTATCTTTCTAGCTTTCATGTTTAGGTGACGTTGTTACATATCATAATCCTGTCTTGATTTTTACAAATTGTGATTCTCATATAATTTCGGAAGTCCATATTACAAGTTCAGTATTTACCTAATGTGACAATGCATACAACCCACACTATTAAATTATTTGTCTATTTTCAAAAAAGAAATTATTCTAAAGCTTAAAAAATTAAGCTTCAGTTATTTAAGTTTAAAACAAGTATTAACCATACATCTTATGATGATATAGTAAAATATAGATGAAATATAGCTTTGTATTTCTTGTTTCAGCAAAGATTGACTTGAAATCTTACTTAACTACTTGAATTTTCAAGTAGTTAAGAATTTTCTAAGAATTTTCTTCATATGACTTGAAATAACATTCAAACAATCATTTAACATTCAAGTTGTTTTCCTATCTTCATTTTAGTATAGCAAAAAGTAGCATTGCAAAGGCAGAACATCAGTTTGGACCCTGTGAATAACTTATTTTGGAATAATTTTTCATTGTCATTTGGGTACTAGGAACTTTGAACCCCAAGCAGAGATACAGCTCAGTGTTCGTTATCATTTCTAGTGTATGTAGTAAGAATCATGCATAATTCCAGCACTTAGCACAACAGCATAAGTAGATGGACAATGTGTAGTACAGAATATTAAGAAACTTTCACCTTCGGAGCCTCAACAGAAAACATACAGCACTAATAGTAGTCTTCTCAGTTGGGTTATCTTTATGATGCTCCACTTAGTTTGGCGTATAAGTGTCTCTCTTTGGGACATTTTATGGGACTTCAGTGTCAGCCTGATATCAGCACAAATCTCTTCTTCTTGGCACGAAATGGAAAAGATCTCACAGATATCTCTGAAGAAAACCATGGTAATATAAGAAGGAAAACTGCCTACCTTAACTGAAGAACAGATTCCATCTGTCATGTCATTCATGCAGCCTCTGGGTGCAGTTCAGTTCTAGACCTATTTCCTTGGGCAAAGAATTCATTCTGAGAACTTTAGGTATCATCTTTGTGTTCATGATTACCAAAATTTCAATGAAAGATACGATCATATTTTTGATTTCTAATAATTTTCTGTACTTATGTTTTCATATAATTATATTGGCTGTGTGTTAAACCCAAAGATTAGTTCAATCCCTTCTATTTATCTATTTTTCATAGCACAAAGTCCTCATATTCTTTTGAGACTTAGAAATTGCAGTTATCACTAATTATTTCTTCTTTTATCCCACACAACTATGACTCATTATTTGGGAGAATAGTGAGATAACTCCTCCTACTTACATTTAATTCTCATCACTTACATTGACCCACTCTATTCCACGTATACATTAGACTTAGCCCAAGTATGAAGCCAGTCTCTTAGTATCAGCTCTTTCTCCCCTCCCCATACACTATTATAACTAAGCATCAAAAAACATCATTTGATTTATCCAAGCAAGAAAAATGTCTATCAATTGCTTAAAGAATTGAGCACAAATTTCTCACCATGTTTTTCCCTTGTCATCTTACTTTGTCATTATTCTCCACATCAGTGTTTTGCAAAGTCTGGTTTCCTCATCACAAGTCATTTCCTGCTCCATGTCTTGTTTCTGTTAGGACTTAGCTTGAAGTAAGTCCCCCCCCCCCTTTTTTTTTCTTTTGGTTTTTTGAGACAGGGTTTCTCTGTGTAGCTTTGGAGCCTATCCTGGCACTTGCTCTGTAGACCAGGCTGGCCTCAAACTCACAGAGATCCTCCTGCCTATGCCTCCGAGTGCTGGGATTAAAGGCGTGCGCCACCACCACCCTGCGTAAGTTCCCTTTCTTTTCTTCCTTTCTAAGGCCACATCCATTTCTTTACATCTGTGTGCATCTGTCTCATCAAAATACCACAGCCAACACTGCTTCTGTGTCAGGATGACAGCATTGCCTTTTGCTCTGAACACTAAGCTTTTAGAGTTGTAATCATGTTATTACATGTGCATCTATTTGCTTATTTTATAGCTACTATATTCTATTAAATTGATAAGTGATTATGTTTCCATGGCAAATACTACAGGCAAACACACACACACACACACACACACACACACACACACAGAGAGAGAGAGAGAGAGAGAGAGAGAGAGAGAGAGAGAGAGAGTATTTATGAGTAGATACATGTGTATATAGATATAATTTAGGACCTCTTGGCGTGAATGAACTTACCAGTGAAACTCAGTCAAGAGAAGCATTGTTTAAACCTGAAGCGTTATTTTTATCTAACAAGATATTACATAATCGCTGCATGGTCTAGTTTTTTGAAGATTGCCTTTGACAACAGCATTTCTGTGACTTGATGGTTGACTAGGAGAAGGAGCAACACAGTGAAAATAACTGTGAGTATTCTCCCAGTTCATCTTCTTCTTTGACACTGTGCCTGTGATTTTTCCCAGCAGATGGCACAACTAAAGTGATAAATTCAGAAGACAAAGCTAAGCTTTAAAGTATTGAGGTAGATAGAAATAGAAAGGTTTGTTTTTTTTTTTTACAGAAAAATGGTGAGATAAATTTCAATATAACCAAAACATTTTATGTGTTTTAATGTTCATAAAATGGAAAATAATTACTATTTCAACCTGGTTGATAGTCTATGTCAGTCCATGTGGAGATACTAAGATGATGGAGTATATTTGTTTTCATCAATGAGCTACTATTATAATTAACAAAATTCCATAGGCTACATGAGAGTTCTTCTTGTAGTACATTTTATAATTGGGCCAATGAATAATGTCACATATCCACCATGACAGTGTTATACAGAAGGCTTTCACTGTCCTTGAATCCCACCCTATACCTATTCATTTCTCCTCCCCCAGTACTCCTGACATCAATGAGTTATTGTGAGGGCATAGAAACTTTCTATTGCCTTTTAATGAGTTTTTGTTGGTGTCACTTGGTCTGGGTTTTAGCTTTTTGCTAGCAAAACATGGTTGTGACCAGGTAATAAGACAAGAGGCTTTGTTGATGGATATTTTTACTGAATTCCTGAACTTTATTCATTTACTGGCTTAATTTGAATTTAGTATGGAAATAAAATGACAAACTGATGTAATAATTTCTATTGTTCCAGCCTATTAAAACATCTGTAAACATCTGTAAAAACAAATAAAGCAGAGGTCTTGATACATGTTTTTCACACCTAGTTCACCTGGGCCCCTACTCTCCTAACCACACAGTTCAAAACTGCAGTAGTCTGTGGTCAGTTAACCAGTCAGTGACTGTACAGCATGACTGCTTCAATTCCAGTGGTGGGCAATATTTTATACATATTAATGCTGTAGAGAAGTTGTTTGGAATTATATAAAAAGAAAAAAATCTTTCATATTATCATTTCACTGTTAAACTAATGAAATTTTTCTTATTCTTTCAAATAATGCTAGTCAAATTTATGAAATGCATCCCTTAGACTTACCCACCATCTTTTTCATTGACAACTGTACAAACCCTGCCTCTATCCTCTTCTTCTTCAAGGAGAACACAGGCAAGCAACATCACAAACAGACAAGGCTAAAAACTCATGTGAATCAACAAAAGTCTATTCAAGATAAATATGCATATGCACATTGTTTAGATGAATGTATATTAAATATAAGTCTTTGTATTTTAAATTTCAGAATCTTAAGATGTGTTTATTACTATACTGGATGAAAGAAGTTACATAACATTGAATACAATGAGTCTTTTTCTCTCCTGCCAGTCAGCTCCCAGATATTGACAGAGACTTGTTATTAATTAATTAATTATTATTATTAATTATGAAAGCTTAGGCTTTTCCTACCAACACCTATAACTTAAATTAACCTGTTTATGTTAATCATGTTTTGTATTGTGGCTTTTTACCTTTCTTTCCTATTCTGTGTGCCCTACTCATTCTGTGTCTCTCTCATGCCTCAATTATCTCTACCTACTGCCTCTGTCCGCCAGGAAGTCCCACCTGTACCTCTTGCCAGCTATTGGTTGTTCAGCTTTTTATTACACCAATCACAACAATACACCTTCACAAGTATACAAATATCCCACAACAACCTTGTATTCATGTGTATCTCTGTGTGTGTGTGTGTGTGTGTGTGTGTGTGTGTGTGTGTGTATAGGAACTGAACTATAGTAACAGACACTCACATGTAGTAACAAACACTCTTACCACTCAGTTATGCCCCCAGAATAAAATATCTGGAACAAAATTAGTGCAGGATTTTATCTAGGACACTGTAGCCTTTATATCACCAGGATTCAGCTGTCCTTCCAGCTGTTACTCAGACAACAATCTTTTAAAACATATCTGGATCTATAGAATTGAAAAACATCAACAGTTGACCTCTAAGAAATCAAATTTCTATATTGAAATGTACCAAAAGTGCTAATATAGCTGAGATTCCCTTTAACTACTTTCTTGGCACCTGCAGGGTTAGGGTTATGCTCATATCA